GTGTCTAACGTCGCCTTTGGAAGCCCATAGAAAAAGCTTTCGGCGTGCCTCTTCTCTAACGTTGCCTTCGGAAGCCCAGAAGAAGAGAAGAGGCAGGCTTCGGACAGGCCACAGAGAGGCCGGGGCAGGCCTGCCGGCTGCCGAGAAGCGTTTGAGGGCGGGACCTCTGGCCACACTCCTGCACTGCAGCTATGCCGGCCAAAGGCCGCAGCTTGGCTCAGACTTTCGTTTGCACTGCCACCCGTTCCACCCTCCGGTGTCCCTGGCGCCGCCCCGCTTAGGCAAGGGCTAAGCAGGGGTCGGCGGATATATATAAATATATACATAGATATAAAAACTATAGACTCTTAGTTCCTGAACACTCCCCCTTTTTGGATTCAAAAACTATGATTTTCATATGATTTCAAGACACATGGTCCATCCGTCAATGCTCACATGCTCCACACACGCCCACGTCGCGCAGTACATGTTTGCAGGCCGAACTGGAGAGCAAGAACTGCTTGTCCTTTGACATTTCGAAGTCTCCGGAGCATGGCCGGTCACCGGCAAAGGTGGTGCCTTGGTCCATGAAGATTCCGTTCGAGAGAGCGGGATCGTAGCGATTTGATCCACAAGACTTTGTGAAACCAGACGATGTTTGTGTGAACTAGACTGCAGATGCAGTGGCATGGAGTCGAAAATCATGCATTCTTATAAAAAGAATGTAGGTTTCAATGCAGGTTTTCATCTCCTTCAACCTGACCAAACCGATGTTCGACCATTTCGACCATTTCCCTTCTCCTTCGGTTGTGGGGTTTTCCCCACGTGCGATGGTCCATCTCCTGTGGCGATGGTTTCCGACACAGGGACCCGTCAGGGACAGGTAAGTGAACTGTTTATATACACAAAAGGTGCTTGTAGAGCAGAATCAGGTCCTCAATCACCCCCCATGAGGGTTACTAATCAATAGTCTACATTATACAGGTACACAAACACACACCGTGATTAACCCTAGGAAGGACAATTCTTGTTCCCCCACTGACCTCTTCTTTGAGAACAGGGGTATTCATCAAGAGGGGTACTCATGGGGCTTATCCTTTTGCATATAGATCTCATGATGAGTCATTAAGTTTCATTCAGGTTATTTTCAATGAATCTGAATGAAATTGAATGATTCAGCATGACATCTGATATGCATAAGGGCAAGTACCCCTCTTGATGAATACTAGGGCAACTTTGCTGCAGGTTTCAAACCATGATGGCACCATCAGGAGGTGGCTACTAGGGCAACTTTGCTGCAGGTTTCAAACCATGATGGCACCATCAGGAGGTGGCTCAAACCATGGTGAAGAGAAGATGCCTGAAACCATGATCACATGATGGTGAGCAAATGAAACCACAATCACGCCATGATTGCCCCTCTGGGGCAAAACACATGGCAACCAACAAACATGCCTTCCATTCTTGCAAAGCATTTTTGTAGGGCCATTGGGCCCACAGTTTTTCAACCACCCCTGACTGCCATGCCCAGCCACAAGAAGCAGAAATCAAGTCTTCCAGAGTTACTTGGGTGCACTGCCTTGCTGTGAAGCAGTGTGACAGTTTTTAATTGCATTGAGTCATTGTGAATTATTTTGCACTCAACCATGTCCAAGGCACATGCAAATGGTGCCTTTTGCCAGTCAATACTATCCTCCATACAATCGGCCTCCTCCACAGCTACCTGGGTTCTTTCAGCAGCCACAGTTCCAGAATCATCCTGTCTACCCTCAATTTGGGCAGGCCACTGGTTCCACTGGTTCAGGGGTATCTGAACCTGCCCCATCTATGTCTGAACCTGGGAATGATGATGATGATGATGATGATGATGAGGAAGATAGTAACTATGCAGCATTTGTTTCACGAAATGCAGGTAGGCATGGGGAAGGACATGTGTGTTTTGCTGCACACTGAAGGCAAAGGAAGTGGTGATGATTCGCCTCTTGCGTAAACAGAGTTGGTGGTTATTGTTCAGTTCCTGGTTTTGAGGCAGAAGGTCTTGTAAACCTTCTGCAATGCCCACGTGCTCCTTCAACCTTCTTTCTGAGTTATTGCTTTTGCACCACAAGGTCCAGCAGCGACAGGAAGAAGAAGAAGAAGAAGAAGAAGAAGAAGAAGAAAAAGTCCAAGAAAAAGAAGAATAAAAAGAAAAAAGGTGTCATCAGTTTTGTTTCCATTCCTTCACTTGTTCAGTCACTGAAGAGGAACCACTCCACTTGTTTAGTGCGCAGTGTTTCTCTACCATTTTTGGTGGAGGCAAGAAGAGCTCATCTGGATCAGACTCTGAGAGCACTGATGCACAATCAACAGTGAATGATGTTTCTCACAATGGGTGCAACCAGCAAAGTATTTCTTTAAGCTAAGGGTAAGTTCCCAACCTTGAAAAGCAGGTGGGCATGTTGAAAGCACTGGTGTAATCAGGTAGAAAGCTGGACAAGAAGAAGGTTCCCAAGGTCCATTTGGCCAAGAACAACACAAAGGGTGGATCCAAGAATGTGCTGTGCAGGAGCCTTCTTTGATGCTAGCATGGGGTGATTTTTTTTGCAAGGGTTGAAAGATGAATGTTGAACTATGCATCTTGCATGCAGGAGAGACCAGCTGCGCTTTCTCAAGCACTGTGATGCTGCCAGGTTTGTCGATGGTCTGAAGGAACAGTTGACAGACCTTCAGATTGGTATGGCATTCTACTTGGTGTGTGGCCTGCCACCATGGCACAAGCTGAGGGAGATGCGGTGTAGGAACTTGGCTGCTATGACACTGAGTTGCAATGGTAGCTACATAAATATATATATATATATATATATGTATATCATGTTTGTGCATAGTTGCTTGCTTCTCCAGCCCATTGCTCCCACATCTCCAGCAGCCCAGGAAGCTGAGACTCAAGGAAGCACATGAGAGATTCACTGCAAGAGTTGGAGACAGAATGGCTGAAGTGAATGAGGACCTTTCCAACATAGAATCTTGGCTGCCAGCTTCAATTGACCCCTTACTTGCAGAGGTTATTTATGTACTGCTTTGGGTATGTGGTGTGTGTTCAATGTCTTGCACTGTATGTCTGCAGTGCTCAGGATATGTGGTATTACGTGTTCTCATTTGATTTGTCTGGCAGGGTAAGTCAGTGTTTTTGTGGATGCAGACTTGTTTGTAGATGGGCTGCAGGAAGCTGTGGCAGAGAAGTATGGATGGGCTGAAGTGGTGGATGGCAAGCTTCCTGGCCAGGTGGAAGCATGGCCTCAAGAGTGTGAGTGGTGCAGAGTTGGTCATCTGTGATGTGCTCTTTTTCTAGTTTGCAAACTGTCTCATGCTTGGCCAGCCAAGGGACCTGGTGGCTACCAGAATGCAGAGAACAGGCCATTGTACTTTGTGGAGATCTCAAAGGTTGGGGACACATGGTTGAAGTGCAGGGATGGCGCCTTGCCTTCTCATTTGCTTTTTCATTTGCAATGTGTTGGCCATCTTGGGTCACTGGCTTGCAATCCAGTGATAACTGGTCATTTGCCCCAAGGTGGAAGGCCCAGGATGGTCATACCACATGGTGTGCCTGCATGTTGGACTTATACTACAACTCCAGACAGGTGTGTTGCCTGAACTTTATTCAATGAATGCCTGAACTTTGTATTGCCTGAACTTTATTCAATGAATGTCTGAACTTTACTTTGTGGCTTTGAGTGCGCATTTTTCTTGGCTCCTGGAAGCTCAGGTCTTCCAAGTTTGTCCTGAAAGGTCCACCTCCTGCTTCCACTTGCATGGATGCAAAGGATGTGTTCCATGATGATGATCAGTATTCACAGTGGTGCAAGGTCCTGGTTCCTTGGTTTAACTTTTGGGGTCTGAGAGTGAACCCTGAAACTAAGAGTGAATTGACATGGCAGTGCGCACTTCTTTCACTAGTGCAGTACACCTCAATAGTCACGTTCAAGTCTTTGTTTGCACTCTTGGTCAGGTGAGTGCTGCCAAGGATGCCCAGCACATGGACTGGGCAAAGAAGCTTTTGGTGTTTCAGGAGCCTGTGGACTATGAGGTGAAGGAGCCGGCCCAGAGCACCATCAACTTTGGTGGAGGAGAACTGCAGCAGTTCTGCTGTGTTCAGTTCACATTATTCACATAATTTTAATAGTGTCAATGGTGGCAAAGGTTGACACTGTGGCAAAGAGTTGAGCTCACCAGTTATCACTGTCACTCAAAAAGTGTGAAGGTGAGAAGTTTGTGAGAGTTGTCCTGCCATGTCTTTGGCAGGAAGTGGGCAGCAGCAAAAAGAGCAGAAGGCCTTTGAGCAAGGCAAGGCATTTGAGAATGCAAGGGCCCAACTTGGAGAGGGGACAAAGACCAACCAGCCATCTCCAACAGAGCATGAGGAGATGGTCAACTATTTTTTGGAGAAAGCTAGGGCAGAAAGAGACCAGAAAGACAGAGAGCTAGCTGAAAAGATGGCAAGAGAAGCTGAGGCCAAGAAGCAAAGGAGAAGGAACAGCAAGAGGAGGCTGAGAAAAGGGCAAGAGAAGATGCAAAAAACAGGGCAGAGAAGGAAGCCATATACAGTCAAAGGAAAGAGTTGGAGGTGATGATCAGGAAGGAGTTTGAAGAGAAAGCCAGGCAAGAAGCTGAGAAAAGAAAAAGTGAGGAGGCTCAGCTCCAAATGAGACTGGAGATTGAGAAGAAGATCAGGCAGGAGGCTGAAGAAAAAGCAAGGGCAGGAGGGGCAGAGCACATGAAGCAAGAAGCAAGCAAGGCAAGAGGCTGGGGAGAAAGCAAGACAAGAGGCTGCAGAGAAAGCAAGACAAGAGGCTGCAGAGAAAGCAAGACAAGAGGCAGAGGAGGACCGAATAAGACAAGAGGCTGCAGAGAAGGCAAGACAAGAGGCTGCAGAGAAAGCAAGACAAGAGGCAGAGGAGAGAGTCAGACAGGAGGCTGCAGAGAAAGCAAGACAAGAGGCACAGGAGAAAGCAAGAGAAGAGGCAGAGGAGAAAGCAAGGCAAGAGGCTGCAGAGAAAACAAGACAAGAGGCAGAGGAGAGAGTAAGACAAGAGGCTGCAGAGAAAGCAAGACAAGAGGCAGAGGAGGAAGCAAGACAAGAGGCTGAGGAGAAAGCAAGACAAGAGGCTGCAGAGAAAGCAAGACAAGAGGCAGAGGAGAAAGCAAGACAAGAGAAGGATGCTCAAGAGAAAGCAGATCGCCTGAAGGAGTATGCTAGGAAGAAGCTGGAAGAAGAAAAGAACAAGAAAGGGCACACAAAGGCTCAGGTGGAGAGTTTGTTCAGTGCCTTGGGCAGCACATAGGTTGAGTGTGGCCTGTGCGTTGCGCCCTTGGCCATGCTAAAGAGTTGGAACTGAGGTGGAAAGGATGGAAAGAAGAAGAAAAACTGAAAGGCTAGCCTGACCTGTGCAGCAATTTGGCGCACACTAGTTGGGTTGCGCTTCAATTGTTTGGCCACCTTTGGTTCAACTAGTGTGTTTGTTGCAGCACTGTGAGCCCTTTCCTGTGCTGTGCACAAAGGTGAGAAGATGTGTGTGTGGGAGGCGGAAAGAACCCTTTCTGAGCAGCCAAGGCAGTGACATGGCTGGCTGGGCAGAGACAGCAC